ATATATATATATATATATATATATATATATATATATTAGCTTATTATTCCAGAATATGGATTACATATTTTAATCAACATTTTATTTTTAAGTAGTGGATAGTGATTTTCATTACTTCTAAATATTCCATTAATAATATATCACTTGTGGCAATATTATCATAAACCTATTATGTCTAAACCAGGAATTTATGACCCAACTAATATAATGAGTGTTCAAGCTCTTAAAGTTCATCAAAGGGAAGGATGGAGTAAACTTATATTTTATCTTTTATTGTTTTTTTACTATTTATATAGGTAAGCTTCTGAAAATTTAAAAACAATTATATTTTTAAATTTTTATTAAAAAAAAAATATCTGTTTCTTTTTTTCAGTATGATTATTTCATTAGGAATTATGATTGATTCATTATGAAAATCATCTTTTATTATGCTCTAAAAAATTTATTTATAATATATCTTCAATATAATGTTTCGCTAGTTAGTTTTTTTATTGTAAATATAAGAAATAATGTATAATTTATTAAAACAAATTATAATTTTTTGTAAAAAATAAAATTTCATATTTGAATAATAATTTTTTTTGTCTTAATTATATAATTGAAACACTTCGATATACATTATATATACATTATATATATTACTATAATAATTTTTATTTGTTTACATATTAATATAGATATATAATTATATTTGAATAATTATATAATAATATATTAAAAAATTGTGTTTTTCTGATATATAAACATTGACAAATAATTATTAACTTGTTACATTAACAAAATTATAAAATTAATTTAAATCTATGAATAAGAATCTAAAAAAACTAAATCATTAGAAAAGAAATACCTAACTTTAACTTATGATACATCTGCAATGCTGCTCCCTATTTACAACAATGTTATACATTCATTCTAACCTTTAATTCTTTTTCTAAACATCAATGTTAACTTGATAGTGATAATATTTTCTACTTGTAGAAAGTTTTCATTAAAATAATTTAAATAAATTCATTGCATTTTATTATATTAGTATTAGATTATTATCGGAAGTGTATATAAAAATGCCTACTATTAATATCAAACGTGACTCGTTATTTAAAATCCTTGGTAAAACATATTGTAAGTTGAAAATATTAAAATGTTATATTGTTTTTCCATATTTGAAATTATTTTGAATAAATATTTACTAGTATAATCTTTTCTATATGAAGTAATATATCTAATACAATTTTAGCGGATATCGACTTTCAAGATTTATGTTTCAAGTTTGGCTTAGAATTAGATGAAGTGGTATGTAATGTATATTATTAAATTGTATTAAATATATTAGTACTCTTGAAAATTGTATTATTATATATTTCAATATATAAAAGAATTTTAATTAAAATTTTTAGGTAACAGAAAAACAAATTATATCAAAAGAACAACATTTAAATCATAATAGACAAGATTTAGAGGAAGTTATATATAAAATTGATATACCAGCAAACAGATATGATTTATTATGCTTAGAGGGTTTAACTCTTGGACTTCTTATATTTTTAAATCAGTATATATATTTAATATATAATTTATTGATTATCTCTAACAAACTATGTTATTTTTTTCACATATTATATATCATACTATATAAGATATAAATTATTATTTTAATTATTTTAATTATTTCAATTATTAGAAATAGATTATATTAAAGTGATAAATTAATATTTTTTTTGAGATTTGAGATGTTATATTATACTTATATTTATTATATTTATAAATAAGATTTATATATTCAGAAAATTTTTTTATATAGAATTGATATACCACGATATATGACAATACTTCCTAATACAAATATAGAAAAAATTATAATGACAAAACAGGTATATATAATAACTATATTATTAATTTTTGTTGTTGAAAAATTAAATTTTTATTAATAAATCAATAAAAAAATTAAATTATGTTTTAGTGCTTGGAAATTAGAGGACACATTGTTGCAGCTATATTACGTGATGTTACATTTACAGAGGATTCTTATAATAGTTTTATTGATCTTCAAGAAAAATTACATCAAAATATAGGCAGAAAAAGAACTTTAGTATCAATTGGAACTCATGACTTAGATACTATTAAAGGTCCATTTTTATATGATGCAAGATCACCAACTAATATTTGTTTTAAGCCACTTAATCAAGATAAAGAATATACAGCAGAAGGAATTATGAATTTATATAGTGTGAATATTTTTAAATCTTAATGATTTTGATTAAATGATTTAGATTTTATTTGAATTTTTCTTTCAGAATCATGCACAATTAAAACAGTATTTACACATTATAAAAGATAGTGCAGTTTATCCTATAGTAGAAGACAGTAATGGAGTCATTTTATCCCTTCCACCTATCATCAATGGAGATCATTCAAAGATTACACTTGATACTAAAAATATATTAATAGAATGTACTGCAATAGATTTAACAAAGGTATATGAAAAATTAATATAGTAATTGAATACAAAAGTAATAATTGAATAATTAAAAATTAATAAAAATAATATGATAATATATATGAACTTATAGTAAAATTTTGAATATCTTTAGGCAGAAGTAGTATTAAATACCATAGTCTGTGCTTTTAGTCAATACTGTAAAACAAAATATACAATAGAAATGGTGGAAGTCTTGTATCCTAATGGACAAGTTTTTCATTATCCTGATTTAAAATATCGAACTATAGAAATTGATTGTGAAAAAGCAATGAAATATATTGGTATAAAACAAACTGCAGAAGAATTAGTTAACTTACTTTCTAGAATGTCTTTAAAAACATCTATTAAAAATGGTAATAAATTAAGCATTGAAGTGCCACCTACAAGACATGATGTGTTGCATGCATGTGATATTTATGAAGATATTGCTATAGCATATGGATATAACAAAATTCAGAAAACTATACCATATTTATTTACTATAGCGGAAGAGGTAATAATAAAAAAAATTCATAGATTTTAAATTTATAAAATTTCAATATAAAACATTTTCTAAATATTATGTTTATATTTTAAATGTAGTGTCCACTTAATAAACTGTCTGATCAACTTCGTACAGAATTGGCTTATGCTGGATTCACAGAAGCACTGACTTTCTCATTAGTATAAATTTTTTTTAATAACTTAAAATTTTTTAAATAAGTTATATGAATTATTATAATTAATTAAATAATTTTTTTCTTAGTGTTCACGTGAAGATATATCAAATAAATTAGGTCATAATTTGATAAACGTACCAGCTGTTCATATATTGAATCCTAAAACATTAGAATTTCAGGTACATAAATTTTATTGAAAATTAAGATTTCATTCTAAACATAAAATTAATATAATAATATTATAGGTTGCACGTACTACTTTGATACCAGGATTATTGAAAACATTAGCTGCAAATAAAAAGATGCCACTTCCTCAAAAATTATTTGAAGTATCTGATATTATATTAAAAGATAATAATATGGAAGTTGGTGCACGTAATAATCGACATTTATGCGCAATATATTGTAATAAATCTGATGGTTTTGAACTAATTCATGGTTTATTGGACAGAATATTACAAATATTAGAAGTACCGTGGAATGATAATGAAACAAAAAATGGATATTATCTTCGTGCCGTCGATGGTAATTTATGAAAAATTATTATTATAAACAAAATATAAAAATATAAAAAAGCATAATTTATTTATATTTTAACAAGTTATTATCTATTTTAAGTTCATATAATTTTTTTTAGATCCTACTTTTTTTCCTCATCGTTGCGCGGAAATATTATGTTATAACAG